ATGCTAGAATAGGTGAGGGTACTTTTGCTTCATTTGGTCTTCGCGTTCCCACGTGAATTCTGTCCTACGCTTCACGTTCCACCGTACTTTCACGATCGGGATGCGACTTTGTTTAGTACGCTTCACCTCCCTGTCCATGATTTCGACTGGTTCTTCAACGAACAGGAGATTCTCATTGATTTCAATCTCGTCAAGGGGAATGGCGAGAGTTTCATCTGATAGACACTTCTTTAGATTAGAAACATGGAACACGGGGTGTACACTGCTTAGCTCAGCGAGTAGCTGCAGTTTGTACGCCACTGGACCTATCCGGTGAACGATTTCGAAAGGTCCAATGTATCGTGGGTTCAGTTTTCCCCATTTTCCGAAATGAATGACCCCTTTACAAGGTGAAACTTTTAACAACACTCGATCCCCGACCTGAAACTCTAAGGGCTTTTGTCGTTTATCAGCGTAGCTCTTTTGTCGGTCACGTGAGGCTTGTAGTCGAGCTCTAATTTGAACTATCTTTTCTGTTGTTTCACGTATGATCTCCGGTCCCGTTAACGCCTTGTCCGATGCTAGTTCCTTTGCTAGCTGGGTGTCGCCCACCTCAGCCCAACACAATGGTGATCTACACTTACGTCCATATAGTGCTTTGAAAGGAGCGACTTTGATGCTCGAATGATAACTATTGTTATACGAGAATTCAACTAAGGGTAAGTGGGTATCCCAAGACTTCCCAAAGTCTATCACACATGCGCGAAGCATGTCTTCGAGCGTCTGGATGGTTCGTTCGCTTTGACCGTCCGTTTGTGGGTGATAAGCGGTGCTCATGTCGAGATAGGTTCCAAGTGCTTTCCGAAGTGATTGCCAAAAACGTGAAGCGAATCTACTTTCTCTATCTGAGATGATAGACACTGGTACTCCATGAAGTCTCACGATTTCTCGAATGTATAATCGTGTCAGTCTCTCCATATTGTAGGATTCTTTTATTGGTAGGAAATGGGCGGATTTCGTCAGTCGGTCAACTATTACCCATATAGTGTCTAATCCATCTGACGTCTTGGGTAGCTTGGTCACAAAGTCCATAGAAATCCCTTCCCATTTCCACTCGGGGATCACCGGTTGCTGTAATTACCCCGAGGGCTTCTGGTACTCCACCTTTACTTTGGCACAAGTAAGGCATTTGCTGACATAGGTGGCAATTTCTGCCTTCATGTTAGGCCACCAATAATGTTGTTTAATATCCAAGTACATTTTGTCCGAACCTGGATGGATGGAGTATCGCGTATTGTGAGCTTCATTCATGACTACCTCCTTAAATCCTCCGAGTTTAGGGACCCAAATACAGTTCATGAAATAGTATACTCCGTTCTCCTTTACATCTAGATTCTTCTTCATTCCGCGTAATGCTTCGCTTGCTCTGTTTTCCGTCTTCATGGCATCTGACTGGGATACCCCGATCTGAGTGGTTAGGTGAGATTGGATGGTTATTGAGAGAGTTTTCGCACGACGATTAGAGTACTCTTTCCAGCTCAAGGCATCAGCTACCACATTGGCCTTGCCTGGGTGGTACTTGATTTCGCACTCATAATCATTTAATAGTTCAACCCATCTTCGTTGCCTCATATTCAACTCTTTCTAATTCAAGATGTGCTAGAGACTTTTGTGGTCCGTGAAGATGGTGCACTTCGTACCATAAAGGCAATGCCTCCAAATCTTCAGAGCAAAGACCACTGCTCCCAATTCCAGATCATGGGTTGTATAATTCACTTCCTGTGTCTTTAGTTGGCGGGATGTGTAAGCTATCACTCTTCCACGCTGCATGAGGACGCAACCTAAACCCTGATTTGATGCGTCACATTAGACCACGAAATCTTCCGTTCCCTCTGGTAGAGATAGTACCGGGGCACTGCAGAGGGCTTGATTCAGGGTTCGGAATGCAACTTCTTGTTTGTCCGTCCATTTGAATGATACGCCCTTTTGTGTAAGAGAGGTAAGTGGTTTGGCGATCTTAGAGAAGTTTTGAATGAACCTGCTATAGTAGCCTGCTAGGCCTAAGAATTGGTGAATTTTTGTGGGTGTCGTCGGGACTGCCCACCCTTCGACGACTTTGACCTTAGAAGGATCCACATGAATTCCTTCCCGACTAACAACATGACCTAGGAAGTTCACGCTACGGAGCCAGAACTCACACTTGGAATGTTTTGCGTATAGCTTTTCCGCTCGTAGGGTTTCCAGGATTTGTTGGAGATGTTTGCTATGCTCTTCTTCGCTTCAGGAATAGACTAGAATGTCGTCAATGAAGTCAATAACAAAGTTGTCGAGGAATGGTCGACAGATTCGGTTCATCAGGTCCATAAATGCGGCAGGGCCATTTGTTAGAGCGAAGGGCATTATGACAAATTCATAATGTCCGTAACGAGTTCGGAAAGCAGTTTTGGGAATATCCTCTTCCCGTACCTTGAGCTGATGGTACCTGGACCGTAGATCTATCTTAGAGAAGTAACTAGCTCCTTGGAGCTGGTTAAATAGATCGTCGATTCGTGGGAGTGGATCGTGATTTTTGACGGTGAGTTTGTTTAGCTCTCTGTAATCGATGCACATTCTAAAAAATCCATCCTTCTTTTTGACAAAGAGGACCGGAGCTCCCCATGGCGAGTAGCTAGGTCGGATGAATCCTTTGCCCAGGAGTTCGCTGAGTTGGCTGGACAATTCCTGCATCTCAGTAGGAGCTAGTTGGTAAGGCGATTTAGCGAGGGGAGTTGCTCCTGGAACGAGATCAATTCGGAATTCAACTTGTCTCTCTGGGGGTACTCCAGGAAGATCTTCAAGAAATACGTTTGAGAATTCACGTGCTACTGGAATGTCTTGAATGCTAACCTCTTCATTGGTTTTATCCACTACGTGATCCAGGAACGTCAAATCGTTCTTTCGCAGATGCTTCTGTGCCTGGATGCACGAGATGAGGCGAAGGTGCGTGCTAGGTTTGTCTCCGTAAATAACTAGGGTTTCACGATTGGGAAGGTGAAGGCGAACGGCCTTCTCGTGACACATAATTTCAGCATGGTGGGGGCTTAATCAGTCCATGCCAATAATCACATCGAAACTCCTAATGGAAATAGGCATTAAGTCTACTCGAAAGACGTGTTGGTTCAGGGTTAGGGTACATCCGATGTAGATTTCCACAGTGGATTCGGTTTTCCCATTGGCCATTTCCACCATAAAGGTTTCATTGAGCTTATGGGGTTGTTGTTTCAATAAATGTTTAAACTTATTGCTCATAAAGCTTCGCTCTGCTCCGGTGTCAAATAGGATGCATGCATAAGTGTGGTTTAGGGGAAACGTACCAGTTACAACAGCGGGATCTTGAATCGCCTCCCTCTGACCCATGATCAGCACCCTTCCTGTTCCTCCATTTCCGGGATTGTTGTTGTTAGGGCAGTTTCGACGGAAATGTTCAGTCCTTCCACATCCATATCAGGTGTGGCTAGGTCCTGCATTGTTTCCGCCAGTGTTGGTGATGTTGTTGTTGCGGTTATTTTTGTTGTTGCTTCCCTGTTGTTGATTCTGAGGAGGATAAGTCCTACAGTACTTTGCCGTGTGCCCCTTCCGATTGCAACTGGTGCAATGCATCTCTCTGCATTCCCCATTGTGATGGAAACCGCACTTGTTGCACTTGGGAAGATTACCGGAATAAGGTCTAGGAGTACTTGGAGCAGCTGAGGCTGGAGCATGTGGTGTGGATGGAACTTGAGCGGTTGCAGCATTAACTGCCACTGTTTGCTGCTTCTTGGATGATTCGGAGCCTTGACGTCCCCTCCTCTTGTTGTTCTTCCCTTTCCTGCTATCATTTTCCTTCTTAACTTCCATCTCTACTGGCTTCTCACCCTTCTTCTTGTTGTGGTCATACAGCTTCTTGGCGAATCTCTTAGCACTGTCGAAAGTTTCGGGATTTGCAGCTATCACGTTTCCTTGGATCGGGGAGGTTAGTCCTCAGATGAATCGCTCGATCTTCTTACCCTCTGAGGTAATCATACCAGGGCATAACCGAGACAGTTCACTAAACCTTGATATGTAGGCATCTATATCAGCATTCCGGACAGTGAGATTCCACAGCTCTTGTTCCATTTTCGGAATTTCACCACAAGGGTAGTATTCGGCCATCAACATTTCTTTCATTTCTGCCCATGGAATGGAATTGGCTACGGGGAGTGTCATGGATTCCACGTGTCCGTTCCACCAAGTGAGCGCTTGGTCAACGAAAGTGCATGCGGAAAACTTCACCTTCATCTCTTCAGGGCAATCGCATATCTCGAACACTGATTCCACCTTCTCGATCCATCGTTTCAGGGTGATCATTCCTCCAGTGCCGTTAAAGGTTCGTGGTTTGGCGTTGGTGAAATCTTTGTAAGAACATGTTTTGGTGGGTCCTTGATTCATCCCGTTGTTCAAACTTCCGGCCCCTTGTCTGTTGACTCATTCATTGTTCCCTTGGTGAATTTTTGCCATTGTTGCGGTGACCGCAACAGATACAGCTGCCTGGAATGTAGCTGAGTCGACTTCGGGTGGGGTTGGTCCAGGGTTTCCGCGAGCGGGTCGTGGAGGCATCTTTCTGTCATAGAACGGAAAGATGTTGAGTGTATGCGGTTTTTGTGAGGTTGTGATCCTATAGACTAGGTGCGTGGCACGAACTTAAGTACTTCTACAATTTAGCATACAATCATGGATTCGTAACACATAGCAGATCATAACGTCATAATAAAACATATAATTTTTTTTACTAATATTATCTGCATTTGATACATGAAATTTTTGCTCGTAAGAGCATACATAAGTGATACTAATTCGATAGCATAACGGCTCTACGAGTAGTGTAGTCACTTAAACATAGAGTCGGGGTACATAGCATAGCTCCTAGTACTAGCACTAAAGACGAGTGTAACTAGTCCCTCGTACGGTGGAACCTATTTAGCGGTTAGTAGAATAGGTCCTATTATTAAGGATGACGACGACACTCAATCGTCGATGTGACGCACCAGAAGTTCAGGCAGTTCATCCACCTCTTGGGTGATTACCTCTACTTTTCGCTCGGCTCGCGTGGCCCTTGCCTTGGCTATGATGAGTTGAAGCTTCAGGCTGATAACTGCCTCCTCGAGGGTGCGTAAGTAGTCTGTATCCACCCCTTGAAACATGCAGAAATTTGATGGGGCTTCCAACTGGTGAGGTTCTCTACACACCTCCTCTACATCCTTTTCTTCATCCGGCTCCTGGTCCAACTCATCATAATCGAGATCAACCAGCACGTATTCGTCCTGTTCCTCTTTAGGTCTAATGTCGTGTGCCTTTCCTTAATCTACCTCTGGCTCATCCTTGACCCTCCCGTTGGCTACTAGGACTTGATGAAACTGAATGCCTTGCTGCTCTCTTTCCATGAAGACTGGGAGGAGGTATACAAATAAACTATCATTACTCCTATGACTCTACAACTATTGCATAGATTGAGTTGAGGTTCTCTTCTTGGAGGTAAAGGGGTATGTTTTTAGGTTCCCTAGCTATCACGATCTCCTCAGGACGTGTGATAGTTATACCTTGGAGGGAATGTAGTTGATCAGGCTGCATCCACTCCTTGATATGACTAAGAACAATCTTGGCTTAACCGAGATACTAGCATTATCTTGTTTGGTTCGATATTATGTACTTTTTCCTAATACAAGCAAGAATGTCTTTATTGTTGTGTTTTACTTGTTTTGTTCAGAGTTGTGTTAGTCCCTCTTTTTGGTTTATAGTTGCATATCAATGAGTGGTTAGATATGCTAGTTCACTATAAACAGAGCTCTGATACCAACCTATCACAACCCTGAACCAGACGGCGGAAATGTCCGGGGGCTATTGTGACTTAATTGAATACCATCACAATGATTATACATGAATCATAACATCATTCATCACCATGCATTGAAATATTACAACTGATATTGTTTACATTCAGTACATTGTTTTAAACATTACAATTCCATAACATAAACCGTTCGATCATTAATCTAAGCAAAACACCATGATATAACTGGATACATTTTCTTATGTTTACCTGTTACCTGAGAATACAATTTATTTTGAAAATGGTCAACATATGAAATGTTGGTGAGTTCACAAGTAATGTTATGGAAAATGATTTTTGTGAAGTTTGAAAACCCAGAAAATCCGATATTTTCTGAAAAGAGTATTGTTTATAAAAAGGTGTGAAGATCCGTAAGTATGCTTGTCGATTTTGAAAACATGAATAATTGTTGAAATTTGTATACTTCACATAAGTTAAAATGTTGAACGCCCCGGGAAAACCCGATGTTTTCCCAATACATAAAATTACATGTCTTGTTTATTGTTATACCGTTACGATGATTGTTTTTTATTACCCAGGTGACATTGGATTAACTAAGGGTTGTGAGTTGTTACAATCACGCATTATTGAAAATGACTAGTTTATAACTACAAATTATGAGCGATCCTTGAGGCGTCGTCCATACTACTCACATAATCCAACCACCATGACTTCTCTTGTTTAACGACACGAATCTGCTTACTCGGTTTCTCATAGCTCCACAACCGAGGAGAAAGGAGGGTAAGAAGCCTCCTTTATTTCCATAAGTCATTCAAGGCTATCGGGAATGCGAAAGGCACTTGGCCTGACTCGCATTTGACTTCTCGACTTCACTAGCAGTACTAATGGACCATTGGGGCCCAACAGCACAATAGTGCTATCGAAAGTCCTTTTACATGTAATTGGGTCATAGAAGGCCCATTAACATGTAAGCATGTTCCCTTCGGGCCCAAAGATCATATCATTAGGCTAGCAAGGTCCAACAAGCACGATTTGAGACTTTCAAGCCCAAAGATTGAATATTGACTCCTCGTAGTTATCGTGTGTTTATTGAAGTAATATGATTTATTGATTTTTGGTTTTGTTATTGATTCGAGATCGAATCAATTCGTTTGATAACGATATTGGTGTTGAAAGTGTATTTGTTATTACGATTCACCGGTAGTCATGGATCTCGTATTCTATCTTAAGGGATTTGTTTGTTCTAAAGTAAGAATTTTACCTTTTCACAACCCTTTTTTTATAAAGTTAACACTTTTAGTCCTTTATATAAAAGAATTTCCATTTTAGTCCTTAAACCAATTTTTCTTGACACTTTAGTATCAAAACTTATTGAAAAGACATTTTCAGCCTAGATTTACTTTATAAACAGCTTAAGTCCTTCAAAAATGAAGTTTTCTCGGTTAGAACCCCCACTTTCGCAACTTTTACAATTTTGGCCCAAAATAGGAAATTTTACATTTTTGATCCTTTTTGAATTTGAAAAACATTTTTGACATTTGAAATGGTTTTAATACACTTTAAATCCCCTGTTATACAAAAAAAACTTCCTTTTCAGCCCCTCATACTTAAAACTCTCGCATATTGAGGCTTATTGGGCCGAAAAGCCCAAGTTTAACCCATTAAGTATAAAATTTACATTTTTAGTCCTTAAAAAATGTTTTGTTTCAGAAAAATTATTATAGAAACTGTTTGGACTCTTTTAACCCTCCAGAAACTATAACTTGTCGGTTTGGGCCCTTAGTTTTGTATTTTTAACAATTTAAGCCCAAAAATAGGTTTTATGTCCAAGCATGTTCATCCTAACCGTATGAGTTATTTTTCTTGACTTGATTAGGGTAAAATAGTTTATGTTATGTTTATTTCCTTCCCTAGGTTTTAGATCTCGGTTTTTACATACTTTTTGGATAACATTTTCATCACAACACATGATATCACACACAAACATGCATCAAATCACACATAGCATACATTTACACATAGATCTACACATTTACTTGTATTCTCCCCCATAAAACCGAAAAGAAAGGGGGTATGAAACTCACCTTGTGTGTGGTTTCGGTTTTGGAAGGAAAAGATGAGAAGAATTCGATCCTTGCAACCTTTCTTGGAAGATCTCGAACTTGGATGCTTCTAAGGTGCTAGATCATAAGTTTGAATGAATTATGAGATGATTCTTGAATGAAATGAAATAGATAGCTTATGGATCAAAGCAATATGTTACCTTAGATGATGATTTTTATGGAGGAAATCCCTTGAACACCTCTTAGATCTCGAAAATATGGAGAAGAAATGAGTGAGTTTCTTGAGAGAATTGTGAGTGAAATGTGTATGTGTGTGCTTGGATTCAGCCGAGAGCAAGAGAGAGAGAGAAGAGAAGAGAAGAGATGTTTTTGAAGTGATTTGCATGAAAACATGAGATGGTGCATGGGAATCCTATGGACAAATGTGAGGTGGCATGGGAAAGTCAACTCTCCTTCTTTGGTTGGGCTTGGGCCGAGATTTGGAGAGAAAAAGATGCGGATTGGGCCTTGTATGCTTAAGCCCATTTCATGGTTATGTTAAGTGATGTTTGGCCCTAATTAATTATAAATGTGATTTTTATGACCTATTAAGGATAAATTAGATTAATTATGGCCCAATATGATTCATTTAAATAATTTATTTCATTCTAGGCCCAATATGGCCCAAAAGATTGAAATGATTGGGAGTGGGTCCAATTAGAGCCCATTCAAGAGTTCTAAGCCCAATATAGTCCAATTGGAAACTTATTGGCCCATTGGGCCCAATAAGGAAGTCCTAGTCCAAAATGGACCTAACCAAGAACTTCTAGGGTTTCCAATTGCTTGTTGACTATTAACAATGCTTGTATGAGGTGTTTGATTGAAATTCTGTTGTCATAGAGTAAGCATAATGCATGCTTTCATGTTTTTGATTCATAGTTGACATAAGTGTTGTAGTTACAAGGCACAAAATTTTCTAGTTGTGTCAAAGCCCCACTAGAAATCCACTCCCTTCTTCGTCAGACGAGTGAGGTGTACTGCGATTTTAGAGAAATCCTAAATAAGATAATTGCAATTTGGGCTATGGATTGCCTTGTATTAAGGAGTGGACGAATTCTATGGGAAAGCCTATGAGGAAATCGTCCGAGGCCTTAAGGAAAGGAATCTATGGGTTGCTTAGGGCTTAAGCATCCAATTAAGGGTTTCCTTGTTAGATAACCCTAATAGCCTAACTATATATACATCCCTTATGACCTAAAAACGTGGCTAAGCATCCTTCTAGGGTTTCACACATTTTAGGGCAGCCTCCATCCTCTCTCCTCTTCATCTTCTTGGTCTTGGTGTTTGTGAACCATTAGAGGAGTGACCTTTGTGACTCTAAGCTTTCTAAAGTCAATACAAGGAGGAATTGGATTATTATTGCTACATAACAATCAAGGTAATGTCTTAACCCATTCTTATGTTAATATGATACTTGTATGCTAGAATTAGGGTTTATAGTCTTGGATAACTTGCATGTACAATAGAGAAACCTAGATCCAAGCATTAGGGTTTGTATGAGCACATAGGATGTTCTTATGACTAAAACCCATCAGTGGTATCAGAGCCATGATTGTTTTCTATTGCATTGATGCTTTGTTTGTTTGTTCAAGCTTAAAAATCGAAATTTTGGGATTCTGGGGGATGAACTCGCCGAGTCTATAGATCAACTCACCGAGTCCATGCCTGACTCGACGAGTCAGTCGGTCAGAAAGTGGGAAAAAGGTATTTCTTACTGTTTTTGCTTGAGGATACTTGCCTTATCATATTAGATCAATATAAATCTGTTTTTTTGATATATTTGAGTATATTCTTGATTTAATTGAAGATATTTATCAATTAATAAAATATTTGTTTCCTTATGTGATAATTGATTAATTATTTTGATTAAATTGGTAAATTGTTTTGCAAGAAATAATTAAATAAATCAAATATGGATAATTATGTGATTAAATGTTAATTAATATTATTTGTTATTTGATCCTTGTTGTTATAAAAAAAGTTTCATATTTTTGCCTTTAGGTTTTATAGTTTAAATTTGAACCCAAAAGTTTTGTTGTTTTGAAATTTAAATAGTTGAAACCCTAATGTTTTGAAAAAGGTTTCAAAACTTGCCCTCAAGTTTTGGAATTTAAATTTTGATTAATAATTTAATTTTGATGTATATTTAAATTCTAAACCCTGATGTTTTGAAGTGTTTCAAAACTTTCCCTCAAGTTTTGGAATTTAAAAGTTGATTAAAAGGTTTAATTATGAATGTTAAATTCTAAACCCTTTAGTAATGTTTTGAAAAGTTCAAATCACATGCTTATGGTTTTATTAATTAATTAAGGTGTATAATTAAAAGAGGTTTAATAAATCCATAAAATTTTAGGTATACAAATTAATTGATTTAAAAGTATAATTATTAAATTTGACCACCTAGTATTTTCAAAGTGTAAAATACACCCTATACTATATGTAACATTACAAGTCTAACATTATATATATGTATGAGTAAAAGTCAGTCTTA